AAATTTTGTTAGTCATATTTATAAGGGACGTTATTAACTTTTGACTAAAAAAAGGAAGAATGTCATTAACTTTTTTATCACAAGTTTTTCATTTACACTCATTAAATATTTGTGAGAAAAAAATTAAAATATATGTTATTAAAGTAAGTATATTTAATATCAAAAGAGTTGAAAACTTGGTACATTTTTTTATTATGATAAAACATATTAAGAAGTGCTTATAAATAGGTATAAAGAGAGTGTGAAATATGAGTTTCATATATAGCCATATTCTTTTGTATGGCTCTCAAATTTTATCCTCTCTACATTTACCTTGTTAAATTAATAAGATCAAATATTAAAAATATAGGGAGATGACAATAAAGTTTTGAAATTTGTAATAGTTAAGTCATTAATAAATTTTTTTAAAAAATTAGTAAATATTAATTCAAATAGTTACAATCAAAAATTTCAATTACAAATTAAAAGTTGTATTTAAAATTTAAATGTTTTATTTTTAGTTATAATTTTTGAATTTCTGATTATTTGAATCAATATTTATAATTAACTTTTTAGAAAATTTTATCAGGATCTAATTGTTATAAATTTATTATTTTATAACTTTAATTTTATTCTTCCAAAAATACATACATTCGAAGGCTAGGAACTGAACTTGAAATAGAAATGTTTATTGTCCTAAAGATGAGAATGCATGAAATCCAAGAGCATGATGAGGTCTAAGTATACATAATGTTTATGGTGGCGTAATTAGCTCAAATTTGACCAAAGTGCTCATGGGAACACTCAAACCGACTTCCAACACAAGTCAATTGTGGCAAACAAGCCCCACTAATAAAAATGGCTGCTGTAATCATCGTCCACATCGCAATTAGCACTTGAAGAAGGAGAGAGAATGAATGGATTAGTGGGGATAATTACTTTGATTAAGTAATTGAGAAGCTGTGTTGAAGTGGTCAGTGGAATTAGTCAAAGTGATTACATGTAGAGGCACAAGTTGAGAAATGAGATTGATCAAATAGATTGATGAAGGACGTACGAATGACCAGTCGATGTGGAATTTTCTTCTTTGCTCATGAGCTTGAGGATTAACAATTTGATCAACATTGGATTATTGGTGACTTAAATCAAGATGCTCATGATTCTCCAGATGGAGCCAGTACTTTTCATTTGGATTTGTGTGATTCTTCTTGTCATTTTGCATCTCTTTTAGATCCATGCGTGCCTGCAAATCCATCAAGGTATCAATATTTATTTGATTCTTCTTAACTCAAGAAATAATGATCAAGATACTGAAAATCTGCTTGCTCGTTAAATCAATCGAAATATTAGTTTGAGGATTAATTATTAAAATCATGATAGAATCGTGATTAGATCGGTTAGGAACAAGATATTTTATTAAATTAATCAAAACACTAATTTAACAGTTTAACAGTTTGCTAGTTTAATTAATTAGATTAATCTAATTTTAATACTATGGTAATAACATCAAGCATTTTTTTTTTAAAAAAAAAAAAGAAGAAGACGTGCCGATGATGCAAAGAAGGAAATGACTTTTGTGATTCAAATCCACTCGTAGAGAATAAGATAACATGGATAAAGTCCCAAGATGTGTATGTCATCCTATATTATTTAATATTTATAACCCTTAGTGACGATCATGTTGTCTTTTTCTTTAATTTCTTAATTAATTTAAGCTGGTTTGTGTGAAGAATAACATAAATAATTTTCAAGTTAAAAAACGAAAGACGTGAGAAACATTAAAAAGCGTGCACTAGTATAAAAAGAGTTTTTTTACACGGAATAAAATTAATTATCAAAACTGATTTTGTGACGTGTAGATAAAATCAATATAAAAAGCTTATTGATTTTTACAACAATTATATAATTGGTGTAGAAATTGATTATTCTACACCAATTGGTTAACTAGTTTAGATAAGTGTTTAAGAATGAAAATAAAGTTTGTTCTTCAAAAAAATTAATATCTACACCAATCGCACAACTACTTATATATATATATATATATATAATTAAGATTAAAATATATTTTTAACTTTCTAACTTTATAAAAGATTTTGCCTTGGTTATTTAGTTTTCTAAAGTGTATTTTTATGGTTAGTTTCATCATAAAAAAATTTTGCATCAAAATTTTAATTATTGACAAAACATTATTTAATGTTAACCTATTAAGTTTAATTTTTTAAAATAATAATAATTGACACAAAAAAATATTTATTTGAAACTAAGGATTAAATGAATAAAAATACATTTTATAAAATTAAGAGAAAAAAATTAAAATTTTATATAAAATTAAGGAATAAAAATATGGCTCATTTTTTAAATAGTGCTTCATATTTTTAGTCTTAGCATTTATGAGTCATAGTGCTTTATCTCTCAGTCAAGTTGTTATGCTGCGTCTTTTTATTTTCGTTATTCTTTTTTATTTACTATTTTGTGTGTTAATCTTAAGTTTGTATGTCTTGTTCGGTCCGTAGGTATCTTAGGATTTTATGTACTAGTCATTTTATTTTAATATTAATTTGACTTATGTTAAAAAAAAAGAGAGAGATAAAGGCCAGTTAAATGGATGTTTCCAAAAGCAATTAGTATTGGTTGGTTCTCATAGAACGTTGCGTAGCAAAGCGTAAAAGACGCAGTATCTCAAGCACGCGCTTGTGTAATGACAATATTAAATACCATATTATCATCATCATCTATATATTGTACAAAAATTCTTTTAAATAATAGTATTCATATTCATAATCTATGAATGACGAAACTCATTTTTCTTTCTTTCGTGTTTTTGTTTTGGGCCTAAACGAAACTCATTTTTCACACAAGACCCACATATATTAATGCAGATTAAAGCGTTCGTATGTAGTGTCATTCAATATAAAATTTCAAGTTGTATTGCTAGCAGGGGAGTTTATGGAACCTCACGGTCTGGTTCCAAAAAGTCATCCTTTTTTATTATGAATCAGGATGAATTGGATGTTCCGCCGTCCGACAATATCAGAAAAAGATATGAATAATAATATTTATTAAAATTTTAAATTATATAATTTATGAAATTTAAACTCAGAATAATATAATTATATAAGTTACAATAATTTAAAATTAATTATTGAATTACATCAATCACATCTATAAATATATAGTATATTATAATAGTAATTATAAGTGATCTTTAGGTTAAAAGACCAACAACAATTAGCACACCAAGCATAACATCGGATCATTATTTTTCTACTTTAGTTGAGATATGTCAAGCTAATTATTCTTTCAAAAATAAAGCAAAAAATATGATGTAAATAAAAGTTATTAAATAAATATATATAAAAATAAACTGTATTAATATAATTAATATATTATAAAAAATATATTATGTTTTTTACTCTATGTCATTAAAATTATTAATATAAAAAATTTAATTTTAAATAAGAATTGCATTTATTGAAATCATAATTGATATAATTAATATAAATAAAAATTATATTAATATAATTAATATATTTAATATATATTAATAAAAATATATATATATATATATATATGTAATATTCGGAACAGGACGGGATGTTTGATGATTATTTCGTGTCCCGTCTCGTCCAAAACATTTTCTCAACCTGTTTCGTAAAATCTCATCCTAATTATCTTCAAATTGGGATGAGATTTGTTTTGATATAATCAAAACAAAAATAAGGCATATCAAGATTGATAAAAACTGAACACTTCTAACTGCTGGGCATTGTTATGGGGGTAGATTTGAAATGAACAAGTGGTGGTCAAAATTAAAAGAAACTCAGAGAGGATAAGCAGGAGGACCAGTGGACCACCACAAATGGACTCGAGATGGCTTCTAGTTGAAGCATACTGCTTTTATTGGTGATCTTTTGCTGTCAGTCATTAATTGGGCTCAGTCTGATGAACTTTGATCTCGCTGTTGACGTGGCCCAAGAGTCCACTACTGCGGACAAGGCTTGATGTTGAAAAGCCCAATGTGTTTAGCCAGACCTTTAGTTGCCAGTTGTTAAGCCCACTTATAATAGGGCTTCATTGCCCAAATCCGCTTGATTCTTTTAGAATAATTTTTGGATTTAATGGATCTAATATAATAGGCAAAAGTTTGAATTTCTATTAAAAAATATGTTCACATTTAATATATGATAACACTTTCAATAAATTTATTTTTAATAAAAGGATATTTGTATGTAACCAAAAGAAAAAAAATTGAAATGCTTTTCACTAGGGGAACTTATTTAAAAAATATCGTTTTCCATTGGCAAAATTATTTTTTATTTTAGACTAATTTTTTTTTCATTTTGGTAATTAATAATTTAAATATCAATTTCTCTTTCTTCTGAGCTCTGATATCATATCCCAAGTATTGAGCCTAGAGTAATTTCATTAGCAGCTTGCAGAAATCATTTTTGAGGGTGTCTATTGTCAAGAATTTAATTGTTATGCATTCTTAAGAGGAGCTCAAGATTTCTAATTACATTTGAATAACCCCCTTGCCCATTGCTCCAAACGCTGTTGGAAATATCAATATCTCTTCATTTATGCACAAAAACATATAGATATAAGAGCATATTAAAAAAAAATTTGCTGACAAGAGAAGCTTATTGAAGTTCATTTTACTTTATGCTCTGATAAATATGAGAAAATAAAGGAGGAAAACTCAGATTTGCATCATAAAAATTTTTTGGGTCATGTACTATACAAAAAGTCACATGCTTCTTTTTCTTTATTTATTTACAGTAGTAGGTAATTTTGAAGCCACTGACAAAATATGTGGCATAAAATAAAATAAAGATTTTTTTTTAAAAAAAAAATATGGCATCGCCCGGTCATGAAATCCTTACAGGGAGGACAATCTTTTTCCGTTGACAAAGGAGCGCATGTCAGGGACCACCATTTCCAAAACATTTGGGGTCACATTATTTTATATTATAACTTGTTTTATTATAATAAAATATAATTCTTTGACTCCCTTCCTCTCTTTTCCCATGGATTCACATTATTTCATGCCATCTTCGCCTTGCTCCCTGCATCCTGGAATACATACACATCCAAATGCAAATTCAGCACCGGCAGTGCTAAACCCACCGAGAATCACACCAATTGGCTTGAAAATAAGCAAGTATGACCATTTCTCAAATCTAAACCTCTTCTTCCTTCTCTTATTTTCCCTTTACCTGTTTCACTTTCATTTCATGAGTTCTTACAATTCCTCCTCCTACCAGTAGCTACTTTAGTTGTTTATGCTATCACCACCACCAGAAGAAGCGAAAGTCATTGTTCAGGAAGGATCCTTTTGGTAGACAGACTAGGAAATGGGGTTATCATCAATTGGATAACAATCGAAGTGAGACAGGCGACAGCAAGAAGGGTAGCCTTGCTGGTGCTATTGCTCTTGTCATTGGGACTAGTATCGGTTCTGGAATCCTCGCACTTCCCCAGAAAGCTTCCCCAGCCGTACGCACTTCTTTCTTCTCCTTACTACACTTGAGCTACAAAAGAACAATTGTTTGTGCCAAAACCTTTTAAGACACGTAGATAGTTAGATGTAATACTCAGATAGTCAAATTCAGAAAACACGCTTACGCCAAATCAACCACAGACACTTCTTTTTTCAGTAAAATGTTGTGACTCTGTCTGCAAAGAATTTTGCCTTTTGCCCTTCTGATATCAGTTATTGAATGTTGGGGTGTTTAATGTATAATAAAAGCAGGGATTTGTTCCAAGTTCAGTATCAATAATAGTATGTTGGGCTTTTCTCCTCATTGAAGCACTTTTACTCGTTGAAATCAATGTGGCTATTCTGAGGAAGAGGAAGAGGAAGAGGAAGAGAGATGAGGAATTGGAGGTCATTTCTATTAGAACAATGGCCCAAGAAACACTTGGGGAATGGGGTGGCGCTTTGGCCACTGTCACTAATGTTGTATTGGGATATAGTTGCATGGCTGCTTATTGTTCCAAATCTGGAGATCTCCTTTTTCAATGGATTAATTTCCCAGCACCTGTCTCAGGCTGTCTATTCACTGCTCTCTTCACAATGCTCATCTCCATTGGGGGAACTCAAGCTACTGATCGAGTTAACCAATGGCTTACAGCTTCCATGATTGGTATATTCATATTAGAACTGTTTTTGTAATATAAGAACTTACATGGTAATATTTCCACACCCTTAGATTTGTCTACTGATATTCATCTGTCAGATAAAAAACACATCTCAAGATAAAAGTGAAAATTCATGGGTTAAAAACTCAACGTCTAGGAATATGTTGAAATAAATTATGGGTGGGGGTGCAGCTTAGAATAGCTTGTTGAGATTAATCCAGAAAGAGTTCTGTTTTGACTGAAAAGTACAAGCGCAACAGATTTATCGTGAGGATAATATGCCTGCAGATTGGCTTGCCAATTATAATCTTGTACAGGATTTTGGAGTAGTCAAACTTAGGGATCCTCCTCATGCACTCAAAGAACAATTATATAGGTGTTTCAATCCCACATTCTATTTTGATTCAATAAAGAGTTTGGGTTCTGTCCCCTTTTTTCATCCAAAAGAAAAAAGAGAAAAAAAGAAACTCAACTTCCTAAGAAGTTGAACTTTTCACAGCAACAACTTTTTCAAATATCAAAGTAACATGTTAATGCTGATACTTTCTTATTTCTTCATCGGCTGTTTTAATAACCTGGGTTTCTTATAGTTCTTTTACTTGTTTGGTGGTTTTAGTTATGTCGAGCTCCTGCACTGCAACCTACTCGCCCACGTAAAAGAATGTCCAATTATTAGTTTGATTGCTTTATTCATTATTCATCATTGAGAATGTTAACTAAAATGTCATTATGAGTAACACTTTCAATGTTTAACTATGTGTAGAATGATTCTGTAAACAGGTCTCTTATTGGCTATTGAAGTACTAGCAGTTGAGTTTGGTGGATGGTCTGGAATAGGCGGCAGTGACTGGGCAAAAGTACCAGCAGCGATGCCTGTCATTATCTTTTCTCTAGTGTATCATGATATAACACCTGGTAAAGATGAAAACTTTTAGTTTGGAATTTCATATGGACATAGTCACGAGAGAAAATACAGTGTTTAAGTGCAACTTGAAGTCTTGTGTTGTGTCTAATATGAATTTCAACAACAATGACTTTGTTTTTTAAGTACCCATGTTTCATGGCTTGAAATCCATACTTATATATCCTTGCAGTTCTTTGTGCTTATTTGGAAGGTGATTTGGATCGTATAAGAGCTTCAATATTTTTGGGTAGTCTAGTGCCACTGATGGCATTACTTATTTGGGATGCAATTGCCGTTGGTTTGGCAGCAGAAGTAGAACAAATAGTTGATCCTATTGAGCTGTTATTCAGGTATTCATCCCTTGCAGAATCATTTTGGAAGACTTAGTGCATGATATTAGTTGCAAGTAATGGTTAAAACCACATGTTGGTCCTCAAAAACTGATCCCACGTATGATTTTAAGGAGTTTGTCTGGCGTCAATTTAATACCTCTGTGAGAATGAGATTGAAACAGAATTATACTTGTGACTTTGTGAGTTGTGAATATTACTATAATACAAACAAATCCTTGAAGGATATCAAAGCTAAAAGGATGGTGCAACTCATTAGTCTTAAATAACAGGAGACAAGAAAAGGCACAGAATTTTTTCCCTTCGCACCCTTCTGGCATTTACTCTCCCGATATTCATTGCAGTGAAAAAAACATGAAATGATAAGTGATAAGTTTGAATGATTTAGGGTGAAATGGAGTGGTGTTTCAGTTCTGGTCGGGGCATTCTCACTTCTAGCAGTTGGGACTTCACTTATTGGTACCCTCCTCAGTTTCTCAGAGTTCTTCAAGGAGCAGCTTAAAAATCTAGTTTGGCTTTCTCCTCCAACACAGGAATTAAATGTAAATTCCATGCCTTTAATAACTTGATTAGATAGATAATCTCGTATGATTACTAAATGATTAGAGCTGTTTTGACAGGGTGGTTGGTGGGGAAGGAATAAAATGAGCATCGTGGCTATGACAATTGTAGTTGCTCCTTCTCTGTTTGTCTCAGCAACTTTTCCAGATGCATTCTCTGCTGCTACAGATATTGCTGTAAGTTGGGAAAGATGGTATTCCTTTGGGAACTAATCATCAAAATTTTCTTGAAATGAGATTGCTCTGAAAACTAAGAAGCATGCATGTACATTAAATTAAGCACAGGCGACATAAATATCATGACATGATGAAATATAGTGTTCTAGTTGATTGGAAAAGTTAAATCTATCTGGCACTTTTTGAACACACGATTTATTCTCTTGAAGCGTACATATTTTAAGCTTTGAAAGCAGAAAGCATATTTGCCCCCCCTGTATGAGGGACCCTTTTCAATTTGGTCATCCACAGGAAGAAGAAACTAAATCAGTCCTTAGCTGTAAAATAACTTCACTCAATTCAATCTTTATATTAACATTTCACTTCCAAAATTTGACAAAAGAAGTGATCATATGTACTATTACTGATAATACTGATACCGTGTAATCCGTAAGTGCACATACCTTCTATTATGGTGGCCTGCTGCAAAGTTTATGATATATATATATATATATATTGATATATCAATTACTTTAATATAGATAAGTTCTTTAATTAAAAAATAACTCTGCGCATTTACCAATTACAGATCACCATCAGCAGCTCATATCACTCACTCTATTAGTTTTGGGAGCAGAATTATTGTTGAAATACAATTAATTGTAGTCAAATTTTGTCACATTCCATAAAAGAGTTTCTATAATTTTTTTTTATATCGGTCACTGATAGTTGATGGTGAACTAGGGAGGCTACTGCATGACAGTGCTGTATGGAGTTCTTCCACCAGCAATGGCATGGACAATGCAGAAGAGGGAATATGAGGGTTCTGGTGCAAAATCATTATCAGAAGCTTGGCCAGCTCTTATTATGGTCTCTTTATTTGCTTGTGGCATTGTGGTGGATCAAATCCTGCAAGATACCCAAGCCCTGCACTTGTAAATTCCTTCACATTGTATATTTAACTCTCACTCTCTGAACAATATACTCTTGAGGACATTAGTTTCCATGTAGATCATTTTCTACATCCATTGCCTCACAAAATGTAACATTGTGAGATTAATGCCATTTTTGGTAGGTTGGAATTGTAGAGATGGAAATGGAATTGGGATAAAAATCTGAATAAAGTGATGTTTGGTAGATATGAATCATAATTCCTGAGAATCTTGATTCCATAAAAATAGGCTAAATTGGATTCTTTGTTTAAAGACATGGAATCAAGGGCAATTCCATATAATTGTGACTTTTAAGACACTTTTACCCTCATAAAAATTTTAAAAAGACAATTTTGCCCTAAAAACATATAACCCTAACCACACCCAGAAATGACCATTAGACGTGGCAGACCGAGCAAAGACGAGAGAGCAGTGGGAAGATCAACGACGAGAAGGACGACGGACGACGACCGATGCAATCTAGAAATTAAAATGTGAAAATTAATATTTTATTTATATACTAAACATATGATGAAATTAAAATGTTTTTTTGTAAAATATTTTACTTATATATAATATTTATCATCTATATAATATTTCATTTAATATATAAAATACATAAGGAAATTGAAACACAATTAAGGTTTTATTATGTTTTATTTTAATTTTTATATAGGGGTATTTTTGTCTTTTAAGTATAATTCTATTTTCATATCTTACGTACCAAACAAAAATAATGTAAGGATTTTATCTAATTTTTTTGACGTACCAAACATATTTTTATAATTCAATTCTATTTCAATTTTAATTTCAATTTCAATTTCAATTTCGATAACGATTTTATCAAAAACTATTTAATCATATCAAATGAGGCCTAAATTTCTAATAAGGGTGAGATTAATTTACTTGTAGTTCTGTGCTAAACTGAAGTACACCAAGCCTGAACTAGACAAACCATAAAGAATATTTTTCAATGTGGTATTGCTAAGAGAAAGATGGTAGCCAAACTTTAGAATAATACGTGTGCGTGTCTATTGCAAACATTAACTTTATACATCCTTGATACTTCACTTTAATATTGTCTCCTTTCATTGTTTTCGTTGAAATTTACGGATACACCCTTGATGGCAATCAGATTATTATGTCAAAACAATTAGTTGATTTGACAATATTTAGGTAATAATGAGTTAATCAAAACCTGAAATTAATAAATGATTGATTTTTGATTGAATTCCAAATATAAAAAATATTTCTCTGCAATTATGATGATTATTTCAATAAGTTATTTACTCCATAGTGAGGCATTTTAATGTTAATTAGATTTTTTTTTTCATTGTGGCCTTCCCTTCATTATAAATAGAGGAAGGTGGTTAGAGGAAGAACTTACTTTAAAGCAAATAAGTTATTTTCTTTTTTCTTTGATGCCTTTGTTATACATCATAGTTTGAACTCTAATAATCTAAACTCGTGTGGATAATCGGTTAAATTTTGTTATATCTAAATTTGATAAAACTCTGACTCAACTCTGTTATTTAGTATATTATTTTTGTTTAATATTTCTTCACTTTGCTCTCAAGCTTGCAATTAGGGGAGAGAAGTAGCATGGGTTTCGAGAAATTTGGAAAGTCACTAAATTGTAAGATTTGCTTCATATTTGATGTGCTACCGAAACACTTCCAAAGAAATGAAAGGATTCTCATGCCTTTATTATTCATCACAGAAACGTGGCATTTCAGATTTACATAGGCGTTTAATTTTTACCGTATTGTTTCAAGCTTTTATGTTTCTCATGATATTTTAGTTAGGCTTCTTTTGGGAAGGATTCTCCCTTGCTCCCTTCCTCCTGGTTTTTATCCTGCCCTCGCAAGGGTAGAATTTTTTTTTCTTTTATTACTCACATGTCCATGTGAGGGCAAAAGAGAACCTGCTCTCAGCTTCCTTTGTTTGTTTCATCAAAATATGATCTATTATTATTTTGAAATCATGGTGACTATAAAGAATAAACTTGACTCTAACGGCATTTGGAATCTTGGCTTCAAACAGAAACTAGGATATACCTCAAGCACCGAAGCTGAACTATTAGCAATACCTGCTGGCCTCCAACAATGGCGTGGGATACTCTCAAGTCCATATGTATTCTGACTCCCTTGAGTCCTTCAACCTCATTTTTCGAGATGGGAATCAACATCACCCATTATGGAATCTGATTCAAGAGATTCGACCCAAGATTGCTGATCTTCCAGACTTGAAGCTGTATCAAATCCAACGTGAGGCGATTTGTTGTGCAGATTTATAGCCAATAGTGCTCATAGGGCTACCAATGTTATTACTGTTTTTGATTATCATTCCTGAATGTGCTGCTCAATATCAGCATGACAGGGGGCATGCTCACTAACTGTCCCCTCTTTTGTAATCAAGCTTTGCTTGCCTTTCTCAATTCAAAAATAAATAAATAAACATAGAAATTTGCCATTTACTTTTTTTAAAAAAAAATAAATACTGAAGCCTACATTAACAACTATAAAGAACAAACTGGGAAATTTGCCTTTGCTAACAACATTCACGTCTAAACACATTCAAGTCTTTGACCTCACTTTCAGCTTCACCAGTCTTGTGGCCCCACAAACGAGAGTCACTAAAAGACAAATCTAACATAATTTTTCTTATTCTTTTAACTTAAAAAAATATTGTTTCAGACTTAGCAAAGAAAGGAAAAAAAAAAATAATATATATATATATATATAATCTAACTTTGATTACCCATTGAAAACACTTAATCGAAGTGGTTAATGTCCAATTTGAAATAAGGGAAGAATTTTTTATGAAAGTGAGAAATAATAAATATGATTATATGGTACTAAAAGTGAGATAAAATTTTATTCTAAGTGAGAGAGATGAAATTAAACATGTGTTTAGTTTTCAGTTTACATTTAATAAATATATATTTAAAAAATTTATTTATTTATTAAATTTAATAAAAATATATTTAAAATATAGTTTGAATATATTTTTGAGAGTTATCCAAATACATTTTAAGTTGTCATGAAGTTGGGTTCCTCAAAATTTTGGATTTTTATCAAGGTACGTAAAATTGGACTGGTCATTGAACCGGTCATGGCACTGGGTCACGGGTTAGTGGTTCAATTAGGGTTGAACCGGTGGCAAACCGGTCATAATTAAAATAATATAATTTAAATAAATAGACATTAATTATAAAAAACATTCAACCAAATACAACCACTCAAAAGTCTAATAATAATAAAATACAACACTTTAAATATCTATCATTATAATTACAACTCTTCAATCTCAAAAGTCTAGAGAAGAGATGGAGATAGAGCTAGAGAAGAGACGGAGATTGAGTTGGAAAAGAGACAGAGAGTCAGAGACTAAGCTGGAGAAGAGATGGAGATAGCAGAGACAGAGATAGAGCTGAAGAAGAGACGGAGATAGAGCTGGGACCTGGAAAAGAGACGCTGATTAGGTTAGGGCGAGAAAGGAGAGACACAGATGAAAAGCCGAACTAAATGCTGTTTGAAAATTTGGATTGAACTTAGCGTGCTCTACCTCTAATTTCTCATTTTTTGACTTTAGTTTCACTTTTTTTTTTGTTATCTTATTTCTGAACTAACCCAAAAAAATAATCCGGTTGACCCAGTCAACCCATCGGGTTAACCAGGTTATATCGGGTTGAACCCGGGTTGATGGGATTACACCGGTTCATTTCCTCACCGGTTTAGGAGTAAACCCAGACTAGATAAGGGATCGGGTCACCGGTTTTCGGGTTGACCCAGCTGGTTCGGTCCGGGTTTTAATATCATGATTTTTACACCCAAAAAAGCAAATTTCAGAATTTCACTGCCATTTCTCCGTCCCAATTCCGACTTACCAAACCAAGTATAAAGGATTGATTTACCTAATTCACCAAGTATTACCAGTCAAGTCAGGTTGAATTAGCATGCTTTCCCCGAGTCGCTCCAGGTCGTTATCAAAGTGAAGCGAAAATATCTGAGCCATTTTTGTTTTTTGTTTTTTTGGGTATACAATATCTGAGCATCTTTTTTTTAACTTCACACAAATGACATGAGCATCAACTGACAACTGTTACCCAATACTCTACTCAAGATACACACGTCTACAGGTGAGGTAAAGACACTGTTCAAAGATGACATGGCACATTTCTATTGGTTCTTCTTTATTCAGTTCCCAACTATCTACCTATACTGTTACTGAACGCGCGGAGCTAAGCGCTCCCATCAACGGCGGCGCGTTTTTTAGCTTTCTCACCAGAGGCGCGGCTGCGAAGCCACTCAATCATATCCCCAAACACCAATTCCACGTTTTCATCGGGTTCGCCTATCAACTGATGCCACATCCCCTCGTATATCTTCAGCGTCTTATCCTTACTAGCGGCGCGTGAGTGCAACTCCTTCACACAAGCCGGGTCGCATACTACGTCATCGCCGCCGTGCACTATCAGGAACGGCACCTCCACCTCCTCGTACCTCCCCTGCAGCTCTCGGCAAATCCTCAGCAACTCAAGCGCCGTCGCCGCGCGTGGTCTGTTCACCTTCCTATTCGGGCTCCCCATCGCCAGCTTCCTCTTCCACTCCACCTTGAACGACACGTCCGGGATCGAGCCTCGAGTGGGAACCACGTGCCACGTCGGAACTACTGCCGCCACGAGTGAGAGAAAGTGCTCGAGTGGCCACGGTGGCTTGAACTTTGCACTAATCCCGCACATGGCGCCATTGAGGATAACCCCGTCCCATGGCTTGGATGGTGCAGCGACCGAATCTGGACGGCGGAGGATGATTAGGAGTGCGATAGCGCCGCCTAGGGACTCGGAGTAGAGGAAGGAAGGGAGAGAAGAGTCGTAGCGGGAACGGAAGGAGTCGAAGAAAGAAATGCAGTCGTCGACGACAGGGTTAATGTCGGGGATGTGAGCGAAGAGGCCGTCGGAGAAGCCGTGGCCCTGGTGATCGATGGCGCAAGTGGCGAATCCGGCCTTGGTGAAGTGAACGGCGGTGAGCTGGACGAACCAGCTGGACTCGCCGGTGAAGCCATGGACGAGGGCGACGATCCCGAGGACGGGGGTGGGAGGGAGCGGGGTCCACCACTGGGTGAAGAGTTTGAGGCCCCGAGAGTTAGTGATGAACTCGGAGCCATGACTCACCGAGTGATGAGCATAGAACTCATCAGCGGTGAGGGAGCCGAAGGGGCTCTTCTCGTTGGCCTCCGCCACGGGGTGCACCATTGTCGCTGTTATGAGCGTTACGTACCGAAACCGGTGGGTTCTCTCCCATGCCTCCCTATCTGTACTGGGACTATATATCCTTTTTTCTTTCCTTCCCCATTTCCCTTGTCTTAATTTACAAACTATTTTTTAATTATTAATTGTCAAGATACATGAAATCTCAAAAACTTTGAGAGTATCATCATATCATATATATGTATGTCTGTATGTTAAAAATAAAAATTATAATTTTATTTTTCTTTAAATTATGTTAATAAAATTAATAAAAATATTTTTTATATTATATACCATGTATGTTTTATTAATATGACATGAAAAATTTTATTAATAATATAACGGAGTTAATTAATGATAGGGGAATTTGTTGAACAAAATTGAAGGTTAAATAAGTTAATTTTTAAATATTTAAAAGTGAGGGTTTTATATGCAATTGCATTAAAGTTTATGGAGTTTTATGATTTCAGGTATTATTAATAGCTAGATAATAGATTGTTTTATCTTATAATTGATATAAATATAAATAAAATTCTTGAAATATTGTTCTATTTTAAGAAGAATGAAAAGAGGGGGCAACACTTATTTTGTTTGTCAATTATAGATGAAGTTATCTTGAGATATTATTTATTTATTTGAGAATGATAGTACTAAAATGATAATAATTCTAAGAAGATAATATTAAATGTAGTTTATGGTGAGGTGTTTTCATAATTTGCAAGGAACCGTTGATGATTGTACTTGATGACAACACCAATAATAAAAGTTTAATGTATAACATGTTCTCAAGTTGGTTTCCTCAATTGAGGGAAGCCTATTCTGCCTCTTTATTGAGATAGAGGCAAACTTATATTGTTTAAATTTAATTTAAATAGTTTAAATTTAATATTTTTAAAATAAAAATATATTGAGATTGTAAAAATTTTTAATAAATAAGCTTATTAATATGATAGTTTAGACTTAAAATGAATGATTTAAATTTAATATTAAAATTTTTTAATAAGTTTATTGCTGTCTTCAAAATATATTTACACTGTCTATAATATATTTAAAAATTTAATTTAAATTTGTAATATTAAATTTGAACCATCCATATTAAATATGGACTGTCAGATTGATAAACTTATTTATTAAATTTTTTTTACAATTTTTATATATTTTTATTTTAAAATATAAATTAAAAACATTAAATATGAACCGTCTGAATTTATCTCTGTCTTATTGGAAAGGCAAAGGAAGCTTCTCTAAGTGGAGGAAAGTTAACTCCCTTGTTCTGCATTCTTAACTCATGTGAGAATTTTTTTTTTTAACTCCCAAGTAAGTTTTAACTTTAAATGTATTCATAGCATTTTAATCGAATTATCATGTCATGCAAAATATTTTAATATATTTATGGTTTGTTTAGATTAGTAAAAATTTAAATTTGAATTAAATCTTTCACTTGAATATATAAAAAATTTATGATTTTGAATTTGATTTAAATTTAAATTTAATTCAAATCATAATTCTCTTTTCATTTTAAATTCCTTCTACGCTCTAATAATTTAAAATTTTAGTTACTTTAAATATTTTTTTTCTTAGTTTTACTATTAATATTTCTTTAACTCTTGTATTTTTTATTAAAAATAAAAATAAACTTGTTATTTTATTTTTTTTATTTTTACAACATGTTATTAAATTTTTATTGTAATTTTTTTAACTCTCACCAAACGTTGATCACAAAAAGTACGAGTATTTAAATAAAAATAAATTTAAAAACTCACTAAATTTTTATAAAAAGTTAATGAATTTTAATTATTTTTAATTTTAGTGTAACATACTATAAGTAAATCATGAATGAGAGCATAAGAATATGATATTAAAACAAAATAATAATAATAATAATAATAATAATAATAATAATAATAATAATGGGAGGTTGGGACGGTGAAGAGTAGCTGAAATGTTTAAATGCCAAGAGCAGTTGTTGGCCCACGCAATGTCGCTTTCTCGTCACGGTGTCCACGTTATCTTACACCTCCTTGTGTTGGGTAAAACGTTAATTAATAAATAAATGGCTACTTTAAACCACATGACTATTAAACAAATTGTGCATTAAGCCTACAATAAATAAGTAACTTTTTTATATAAAGTGAGAGGATGAAAATACATCTCAATAAAAACATAAAATTTTTTAATGAAAAAATTAATTTTTTAATCCTCTAACTTTTAACTTACATATAATTCAATCACTTAATTATAACTCACAGCAATTCATTCTTTCAATTATAATTTGTCTATGACTCAACCCCTCAACTTTTGACTCATTTTTAATCCAAACCCTCAACTTTTGTTAGCTCCATTTTTTTATATTAATTTAGATCCCATATCAAAGAGTAAGAAGAGGATATTTTAGAGCAAAATATGAACATTTCTTTTATTCATTTTATTTGATTAGGAATTTTTTAAAAAAAATTAAAAAATAAAGACTAAGTTATAAGTGAGATAAAAGTTAAGGGATTGAATCACAATGAGTTATAATTAAGGGATTGAATTACAGTGAATTATAGTTGAAGGACTAGGTTACTGGTGAGTTAAACATTAAAGGATTAAAAAATTAAGAACCTATTTGGAAACCTATTCTGAGAACAGTTTTCTGTTCTCCAAAACAAAAGAGCAAAAAAATCTGTTTGGTAATGTGTTTTGAAAAAGTATTTTGGATAACAAAAAAACAAAATATTGTTCTGAAAAATAGAAAAATGAAAACAACTTTTAAATATTCTGTAATTATTGTTCTGAAAAGCAAGAGATAATAAAAAAATACCTATTTTTATTATTTTTTTATTCTCAGAACATGTTCTACAGAATTCTCAAAACAATAAAATAAAAACTGTTTTAAATAGTCCCTAATTTTTTTAATTTTATTTTATAAAAAAATTCAAGGATGTTAAAGTTCAAATATTAATAAATCCAACAAATCAAATTATAAAGATTTGATTAAAATAAAATAAACTATAAGGATGTAATTTAACATTGGAGGAAAATGTAAAGACCTGTGGATTAACTATCTCTTACCTTTTCTTTTGCCTTGCTTCATTGAATGATATTGTAATTTATATTTTGAGAGGAAAAATATAATTTCTAAACTTTTTTTATTTTTGGACCTGATATTTTCTAGACTTCGAACTTGCCACTTTTGTTTCCGTTGCATGTTATGAGCCACGCACAACTTTGGGGCTTTGGGCGACAAGTACGAGGATTTTTCTTCCCCTCTTTTTTTTCCACTGCAGGGATTATTGTTTTGTCAACTACTTACAAAGATTTGACCAAAATTTTTTAAAACATTTGCCATCGAGCAATTTTTTCGTTTTTTCTTATCTTGGCCAAAAGAATAATTTTTAATTAAAATTGTCTAATAATTTAGTAAATTTTAAAAACGAGAAAGAAAATCTTGATAATGAGATATTAAAATTTTTAACTGAAAACTATATCTATCACGCATTTATTAAAAACTGAATCAACGGCGATGAGTTGGCCCATATTGGAGATGACGGTGCCCACAGCAACTGGTAGAGAAAGAATTAAATTGGATAACGAGAGATCGCAATAATGCAAATTTTTTTTTTGTTTTTGGGTCATGAGAAATAATTCATTTTCTATTTGGGCCTGAATGATTTTATCCAGGCCCCGACGCTATCCAACAAAAATAAGCCACCTCACGACATTTAAAAACATTGTATTAAAAAATGCATCACTTTAATTATACAAATTCTTTTATTGACAAAAAATAACCAAAGATTTCCAATTCGAGGTAATTAAATTCTTGATGGGCTATATGTCCCCAAAAAAGTTCTTGCAAGTAACTGATTAGATTAGTCTAATATTGAGGGCAAAAGCAAAAAAAAAAAAAATCGTATTTAATAATAGGTAGTAAAAGAGGTTAAAACTTATAATCCCCCTTTACATACAAGATCTTAAGTTTAAGTTTATGTGAATATAAAAAATGATGTGCATGGAAGAATTACCCCAAACACGACACAACAATACTCAAATTTCAACATAGATTATAAAGACAATAAAAGTTAATTCAGTTGATACATATATTAGTAGATGATTTATAAGTATTTTTACAAAAAAAAAAAATTTGAATCCTAAGGAATGTTCTAGTGTTGACAAATTTTTGAAATTCAATTCACCTTAACTTTTCGGCCAACTTAATAAAAGGATTTGCATTTATAAGACATCTTGTTCCAATACCCAAAAAAAAAAAAAAAATTGTATCACAAGCCATGAAGATTTTAACTTCAGTCAAAGCATCAGTGTAGTGTCTTACTTGTATATCTGTTCAACTTCAAGGTCCTTCAAACAGACATTTCCCCACAGCAACTATTTTTTTCGCATCCTACAAAACTTTAGGTGGAAACATAACTTCAAAGAAATGATTTCACATCCAAATAATAGTAAGAACAACAACAACCAAATAGTAAGAACTTAGTGATAGATAAACACACACACGCACCCATGTGTCAACATCAAGATCGAGCTTGAGATCTTCTAATTAAGCATGGAAGGATGGTGCTGCCATTGGAAGTTGGAGCAGCTTGCCATATATAGACGGGTTTTTTCATTTATTAAATTAAAGTATATACCAGAGAAATGTCTCAAGTTACAGCGATATGATCAAACAGATTACAGATCCGACTCATTATTAAATACCATCAGATTATTAATGCCTCTTCTTCCTCATCAACACAATATGTTTTCTCATTACAACTTGATGATATCTACCAAAACTAATCCAGTCATGCTAATTAGAAGGTTGATTAAGTGGAAAGAAAAATGTCTTGTGTATATAACCTCACGTGATTACAAAAGAAGAAAAAAGAAGTTGACAAGAGAGATTAAACCACAGATGAAAATTTAAGACGAAATTAAAAAAATAACGAAGAAGTAAATAGTAGCTCAGTGGCATGCACGCAGATGAATGTGGAGATGAGAATCAGAGAAGGCTTGGAACGTCAGGGTGGATGAGGCCATAGCCGAGAGGAGAAGGAATCTGATTTGGAGGAGCAATATCGTCGAACACTT